CTGGTTGGGTTTTTTTCTTCTCTTTTTGCAGGATGCAGATCTTTGAAACGTCTTTAAGATAAGTATTACATCTTTCTTTTTTAGCTTGTCTGAGACTAAGTTAACAAATACCATAATCATTCCAGAGTGTTCTTTATGTCCTCCCTGCAGTCTATAATAATAAAGTGATCTTTCTGTCTCAGAGGACCTGAAGGCCTTCTGCCTTTGTCTCCTAACTAGTCCTCTTTCATTCATTTAGGCTTCCCTTTACAAGGACCACTCTTCAGTGGTGCTGAGTGAAGTATGACCTTGTCAGACCAGCCCCATGCATTTACTATATAAAATAGCTAGGGTGCCAAGAACTCCAGATCTGTTTCAATACAAAGGACAGCAGCATCTCCAGTATATATTTATTTACTTAAATTAATACATCATACATGCTTTTACTATTGAGATAGAAAGCCAGAAACTAAATATTCACAGATAGTTGGTCCATTTTTTTGAGTTGGGGCTTTAAATAGGAACCCAGTGTTCTATGTGAAATAAATATACACATCATTTGCAAAATCTGTTAGGAGTACAAAATGTTAACTCTGTTACATCTTGTTCAGCTAAGCAGACATGACTTATTTTCAAAACTGTTAATAATTATAAAAAACTTCTTGGAATAATAAATATAGTACTTATATTACTTCTTAGCTGTACACTCATAATAGCAGAGTACAGCAGCACCGTATGAAGAGAGAAATCAGAGAATAGCCACTAAACTAATACAGAGTTGTAAAAATGTGAGTATGGTAGCTTTCCGGTAACTTTCTAAGAACATGTTTTATAGGACACAGCACAGGATAAACTTACTTCTATTCTAATATTATCATAAAGTGTTTTATCCTTTGAGCTGCTGAGCACATAGCACCTGTCTTTGCCTTCACAGACTGGAGGCTGTCCAGCAGCCAGGAGAACTCAGGTTCACAAGGAGATGGCTGAGTCCTGGTGGCCAGACTCAAAACAGCTCAGTCCAAGATTACCTACAACTTCACTTTCTCAGTAAATACATCGTATTTCTTTACCCTCAAATTTTATTAACCCAACTTTTGACTTTTCATTCACCTACTCTGTTCTGTACAGTGTCTTGCAGAATTCTCCCTGCTGCCCTTTACAGCAGAAAAGCCTCTAATTTAACAAACCATGTGCCTTCACTTGCCCAGACTCATTATAGTGTTGCCAATTTACCATTCCTCAGCAAGGCTTCTTGAGCATCTGGTTTGAAAAGCATCTCAGTTGTATGAGTTTGTGGTCACTCTTATTTGTTCTGATGCTCTCCAAGAGGATGAAGTTAGGCTTCATATAATAATGCAGGGAAATGGTATGGATGTGATTTAATATAGACGTGATGGAGACTGGTCTTTAATTTAATGTGTTATCACAAACTGAAAACCCAAATAGCAGAGAAGAGTCAGATAGATACTTTTATTTTCCACAGCATTGCAAGAAAAAGGTAGATGATAGACTCAGATTAGGAAGGAGGAAAAAAGAAAATGAGTGTCTCGAGGTCCAGGACACAGGTAAAGTCTCTACAGGGCTTCTGGGCCTCTATTCAAAGGAAAATAAGGAAGCTAATCCTTTGAAAATGGGAAATAACTTGGTTATGAGAGCAAATTTCTATAAAGCATTTTCAAAGCTATTAAAAAAACAAAGGCTGTTACTGTCTGTTCCCAAAATGGTGCCAATGTAAATAGTGTGAAAATAACTTATGTTTGAAAAGCAAGGTGCTTCACAATGGAGCCTGTTATTTCAATTTTAATTTGTCCCTTGGAGCCTCTTTATAAGTGTCTTAGGCCCAGCTACATTATGTTCTGCAGTAGGGAGGACTATCATCTAATCCTTTTGCTTGGGTCACTTAGCACTGCCTCCTTATCTCAGTAATAGTTTTGTTTGCAATTCCTCTGACTGGTCACTTTTACAGTTTTAGATGAGTTCTTTACTACTCTAACATGAATCAGCTGTGGGTGTTTGTGAATTAGCTTAGTGTGACTATGTGACCGGGCACAGTCTCAAGGCCTCATTGTAATGAAATATTCTCCACTTTCTAGGAAGAATGCAAGAAAAGGGATTTACATTACAAATTATTCCCAAATAGCATTGCCATTCTGGGGACCTCTACTCTTTTCTACCTGGCCGTATGTTGTTGATAGTTGCTTTTGCTCCAATAAGAAGTGGGATTGTAGAAGTGGATAAATTGGCTGCAGTGAAGGTGTGGTTGAAAGTGTTTGGGTTAACCATTCAGATAACCCAGAATTGTTTGCAGTGAGTTCCTTTCCTGAGGAAACCTCTGATGCTTTCCCTTATGAGGTCTGTATGGGAATTCTAGACTGAATACTTCCAGTAGATGTCGTTTTCATGGTTATGATGTTATCTGCTGGGAGTTGAGCTCTGCTGAAAATGTCTCCTTTGTTCCATTTTCCTGGAATGCTCTTGATATATAACCATTTGTCTCTCTCTTGATAAGGATTGTCTAGCTGTCCTGTAACACTTTCCAATTTATAGACAACAGGGCTATACAAGAGCTGCATGCCTTTCTGTTCTACCCACTGCAGAAGTGACGTGACTTGCTAAGCTCAACTCATCTGCATGACCACCATTATAGAAATTGCAACCAGGTTCGACTTTTATTATAGGAACTTATATGGCTGCAAAGGTGGGGTGGACTGATCTTGAATGGTGCACAGCTGGGAACTGGGAACTCGGAACTCACCTTGAGGGAGACATTTCTGAGAGTCAGTGGCTCCCAGCTCTTGGCTGTATACGTTCTAAAATAGGAGCTTTTGTCAGGCAGAGGCAATATATTGCCAAGAAGGTAACTGAAGGACTTGTTCCCATTTCTAAAAGACAGTCTTCTAGACTGAATTAATGATGAATTTCTACCTGATCATTTCCCTTCTAGACTGAGAAAGCATACAGTTGTACACATTATTCCTGAAAGTTTTCTGATTCTTCTGCTTGACCATGTTTTCCTTGAAAGATGGCTCCTTTTTCAAGAGGAGTTATCTTGCAGTGGAAGCAAGGAAGTTGAATGTATATAATAAAACAGTTCATCACTGAAAAAGCATGGCTATGTACCTCTGAAATACACATTTTGAAAAACATCATTCATTCTAGTCATAAAGAAGTGACCTACATTCCACATCAACTTGGTATATCCTTTTTATTTTAAAAAAGTATGTACATCAGCTGTACAGTTAATTACATTTAGAAGAGTGACCTGTACGTTAAAGCTTCTTATATCAATAGCTTTCTCTGCTCTTCATTCAGAATCTTTATTATGCTGTGTTTGAGCCCTGAAAAATGAAACCATCTTCTGCAATCTTGGACTACACAAACCCAGTTTTATATGATGAATAAGGACTACTGCCCTGTGAATGCTGATTAACTGGTAGGTGTGAGAATTACTTCTGTAAGGCAAGAGGTTTCTTATAATGTCAGAGAGCTGCAGCTACAGGCCTCTAGCCTTAGCAAGCCATAAGTATATGACTTAATATTTAATTATAACTTGCTATATATTGAGCATGATGATAACAAGGTATTTCAAATCAAGATCTTGGCAGGTAAGTGAAGAACGAAGTAATATTTGGAAATGATGTACCATATATATAAAAGTTTTAACCTTTTGAGCTGGGAATGTCAAAATGACATAGGAATAATTAAACTACTTATTAAATCTTTATTTCCTTAAAAGTAACAGGATGGCTTGGGGCTCTTTGTCGTATATCTTGAAGATGCAGGAATTAAGGTGCTGGTCAAACTATTCATGCAATTAATGGAATGTGCTTTTATGAACACATAATTGTGTATATATATTTGTTATGAACATATAATTGTATGGGAATCAGAGGATGAAAAGTTGGGAATGACTCATTAAAAACTGCATTAATAGAATTCTTCTGAAAGGCCTGGAGCTTACTGGTCAAGCCATGTTAATAAGGGAAAATTTCTGACTCAGATAAGAGGAAATCGAAAAACAGTTTTCCTCTGTGAGGTACTGCTTGCCCTATAAGGGCTCTTTTTTGGCATCTCTTCTAAAATAAAATCTGGTCGGACCTGGGAATTTCAAAATCATCCTTGCTAGCCAAGATAAACTGAACAGATAAACAGCAAAATTACATCATTTTCTCAATGAAATTACTCTTATTGCTTTATGTGTAATTACAGCAAGACTTGCAAATGCTACACGCTGCTTCTGCTGATGATTAAATGTATTGGTCTGAGCAGACAGTAGAACAAAATGTCAATGCAGTCCATGCTATTTCACTTGAAGAATTGCTGGATACTCCCATACTGACTGAAACATAGCAAAACATGAACATTCCTTGTGCCAGAGGAAAAGCTTCTGTGACCGTAAATTCCAGTTCTTTCAAAGCTTTGCAGAGTTGCACTTCACTATCTCACAAGACATTAGCATTTCTTCTTAATTTGTTTCCCATTTCTCATTGTAAGTGGTTGAACTAAAACAGTAACTTTAGTAAATGAAAGTATTTGGATTGATTGTGTTAGTTCTGAGAGTGACAGAACTTTCATGCACACCATATTTAATAGTACTCTTGCTTATACTGTGAAATACTTAGCATTTTCAGATTTTTTGAGACCTATGGTTAGAAATGTTCATATATATTTAGTCAGATAATAAATCAAACACTAAAGTATGTTGCTTTTTGATAACTAGAAAATTGTGTATAAGTCTCTACCACCCCAGATAAAGGAAAATAAACTTCTGTACCCACCCCATTGTCTGCTTTTACATCAATTGAATAAGTATAAAAATGTTAGTGTTCGATATCTATTGCATTTCTTGGTGACCTTGGACTGCTTCATTTTTTTCATGTACGTGTTTTACCTTAAATTATTTTTATTCATTTGGCTTGTTTATTTCTAAAGACTACTACAAACTCCCAGGCTTTGGTAAATTACAGTTCATGCTGAAAAGCTATCTGTTTCTAATTTTCCAGCTGTTTTAAAATGTCCATTTAAATGCCTATAAGTTTTGTTTGGTTTTCCATTTTTCTTTCCAGTAATTCTTTCAAACTCTTGTTCCTGTGTTTGAAATACAAGTAATCAGAGAGAGAATGGCCAAGTCTGGCCTTTTCAAAGGATCTAAAGCTGAGGTGTTCTTTGTTGTTTGCAAGGTCTCTCTCTCCTTGGCTCTCCTGTTTGTCTGAATTTCCTATTCTCTTCTCCAGTCCTCCCTTACTTAGCATTTTTTCCTTCTCATTGCAGTCCTTCGTCATGCACTCAGGTTTGCCAGACAGATCTTGAGCCACGTACAGCTTGTTGTTGTCGTGATGGTAAATGCCAGGGCTGTAATGCTCTGTCTCATAGCAGTTGTCGTCGTCTTCTTCCTGGCGGGAAGGAACAATTTATATATAGCAAATTTTACTATGTGACACATGGTTAAAAAACGTGAGATGGCCTTCTGTTTAATATTTTACCTTTGTCTTCTACCTAGCTATCTCCAACTACTTTTCTGTTTACATCTCATGGCATCTCCTTTGAGATGCTGTTAAAAGTACTATTGTATCCACTTCACAGTCAGGTCAGGACACACAAAACATTGTGCTGTACATGCCAGACACTTGATGAGAGAGCTAGGAATAAAAGTGAAGTGTCCTGGCCTCTTGTAAACTATTTTTGCCAGTGAACCTACCCACTTCCTCCTTCCTATTTTTTTTAAATGAACACTTTGATCTAAACTATCACATGCCATACTCAAAGTCCCAGGTTTTATACATTTTTTTCCAGAGGAGTGGAAGAGATTAAAAACGTTAACATATTTGTTCTATGGACCCTCTGGTTCAAAGTTACTACTTTAAAAATGAAAACACAATCATGTCTTGTCAGTCTACGACCTCTGCTCTCCTTGATTTTTCCTCTCTCATCTAGTGCCACTGAAAAGCTATATGCACTAGATAGTGCTTCAGCTTGAAGAAATCACTATAATCAAATGATGATTTTGAGTTGTGCAGTATAAATCTGAGTGTGGTCCTGGATCTAGTTTGTCTTAATATTTGTCAGAGCGTCTCATTTCTGTTCCTCTTGCTGGAAACCCAGACGTTACCCAGGAGGCATCTGTGGACTTAAATGTGCTCTGACCATCAGGATGCACAGAAGAAGATTCAGACACTGCAGGTAGAGTCCATCTTAATTAAAAGAAAGATGACAGTACTGTGGTGAGGACTTCACCCAATAGCAAAAATCTATGAGAGCCACTATTTTACTTGATTAGTTTGGGTTTGTTTTTTTTTCCTCAGTAACTGAATCCAGTTTCTGCAGGATTTATGCAGCCTCACTAGATACAGCTGCTACTTTGCAACAGGTTGTATTTGTTAAAATGGTTCATGAGCAGGTGTCAACCCTCACAAATTGTCTTATGTCTGATAAGCCTCAAGGGCTGAAGAATCTCTGTACATGAAAAGCACTTAGGCTGTCTTCAATTACAAGTAATTGCGTAACTAGCATGGTGATGTAGGAGATTTACAGGAAAAAAAGAGCCATTTATATTCTTATTTGTTAGGATCTTTGTAAATTTTATCCCAAATGTCATTAGAGTATGTGTTTTCCATATGTGCTAGGCTGCCCTAAAGCCTGAATTTGAGGAACACCAAGAAATCTTACCCATGAAGGAGTTAGTTATTTATCCAGAAAGTCTTAACAAACAAAATATCTTGGATACTCAAACTCTCAAAACAATCCCCCCTAATTCCCCCACTTCTTTAGATAGCATTGGCATGTGTGCACACGAGGCTGATTTTAGGAAGTGTATGTGGTGGATGGGAGGTAAGAAATGCTTTGCAGGATGCACTGAGTGGTCAAAAATCCATATACTTTGAGATGAGGGAGGAGCGTCTCCTCCTGTCCACATGCTTCTTTGTAAACTGGGTCTGAGCTTATGGCCTTTATCTAACATCAACTATGTCAACACATCACAGAATAAACATATCTTAAGCAGAAAGGCTCTTGGATGTAGAGCCATTCGGGCTTTCATTCCCATTCCAGACTAGAATCCAATAAGCAGTGAACAAGACCCGTGAAATCTTCTAGATTTTTTGCTTCTGTCAACTTTGAATGTATTTACAATTTATCCCCATTTTTAAAACCATGGGGATGTGCCTCAAACATGAGAGAAAAACTATAAACTCCCAACCAGATGTGTCTGGGGAAAAACGTCTGCTTGTTCATGGCTACTAGGCTGTGGTCTATCAGCATCTAGGAATCACCCCCCTTCCCCCCCCCAAACTGTAAAATTTATTAAAAAATAATGGAACTACACCCTCAGTCAGGAAGATCAATGCAATTTCAGCCATGTCCTCCAATAATTCCCCTGGCCAACTACATGTGCCTAAGTCTCACTAAGGCTCCACCAGCTCACTGCCATTTGTGTCTCAGGGGTACCCACATGCTGGGAGAAGCTCTGCGGTGCTGTGGATATTGCACCTTCCCCACAGTAATGGGCAGCCCTGGGCTTAAGTACAAGAACATTTGGTATGGCTTGATAAATCCTCTGCTCTAACACTACTGACTATATTTTCCCTAACACTTGACAACAGCAACTTAATGCGCTAAAATTATTTCTTTTGTACTCACAAATACTGTCTCATTTTGTCTCCATCTACTACTCCGTCTCAGTCTGTACCTCTGTGTCATCAGATATCTAGTCTGAAAGGTCTCTGAGACAAGGGTCACTACCTTGGGGATCTCTGAACTATAGCACTGGAGTAATATAGATAGTTAATAACAACTTCCCAGGCTTATGGGATTCAATCTCTTCCAATTGCATTGGATCTATGGTACAAGATTGTAGATCTGTGGTACAAAGCCCATTTGGGTTTACTGATATGCACCTTCAAACCTCTCAGAGAATAACTGAAAAATATTACCTTGAGAATGAAATCCTCTTTCCATGATGCTGTGTTTGACTTTCATGTGTCTGGTTAGGTTCCCCTTCAAGGTGAATTTACTGGGACAGTAGAGGCACTTGAAAGGCTTACTGTCTGAGTGCAAGTGCATGTGTCCCATTAAATTGTGCATTCTGTTAAATTCCTTTCCACACAGCTGTCAAAAACAGTAAAAATTAAAATTATTTGTTCGTAGGGGTACTTCCAAGGAGAACATTTTAAAAGGGAATAGAACCTACCCTTCTCAACTTGAACCCTGGCAGCTTCTGGCTGCAATTTGTTTTTCAAAGATACAGGCAAAAAACCTGCAGACAAGAATACGTGTTTGAGTTTGATCTATCTAGGGCCTTCTGTACTGCTGCCATTTTTTTTTAATTTGGTGACTAAGAGAGACACACAGTCAAGGATTCACCAAAATCAGGGAATGTTGTTGTAAGGAGGAGAGAGGCTTAAGTACGTAACCTGCAAGACTCTTAACTTGAATGAAATTCAAAGTATAACTTTCTGCTCTGGTGAACCATTTCATTTGTAGTTTATAAATCTGTTTATCAGCTTCTGTGTTTCAGTGTCTCTGGTGAGTAAGCTGGAATTTAAACAGTCATGGGCTGCAAGAATGGCTCAGCTTTCCCTGAAGCGTGTTCCTGACAGCTCGAGTCATTGATATTTCCATTTGATGAAACAATAAGGTTTTTTTTTCATTGTTGCTGTTTATCTAGATGGGTCCTTTTGTAGTCTGGTCCCTTATAAATCAAATATATTCTCGCATCCAAAGAAGAGCAATGAAGCTGGTGAAGGGTCTAGAGAACAAGTCTTATGAGGAGCAGCTGAGGGAACTGGGGTTGTTTAGTCTGGAGAAAAGGAGGCTGAGGGGAGACCTTATCGCTCTCTACAACTACACCTACCGGAAAGGAGGTTGTAGCGAGGTGGGGGTTGGTCTCTTCTCCGAAGTAGCAAGTGATAGCACAAGAGGAAACAGCCTCAAGTTGCGCCAGGGGAGGTTTAGATTGGATATTAGGAAAAACTTCTTCAC